CCCCAAGGGTGTCAGGTGGACTTGTGGGGCCACACCCCAAAGGGGAATCCCAGGCCTCCACCCTGGGGTTTATTTTGGGGGATGTAGGGGTGGAGACCAGCTATGAGAAGGTTCCTTCAGTACTGGGCTGTTAGAGCCTAGGGCACCTCTTGAACCCAAATTTGGCTGCCCCAGGCGTCCATCTGGCGCCACCATGGCCATGAGCCTGGTTCCAGGGACGGGTCGCAGCGTGTGCCCCAGGGCCAGCCTAGGGGACAGCTGCAGGGCCTGTAATGAGGGGTGATGAGAGCTTCCCCTTGGGACATTGGGGGCTGCCTGCTACCTGAGTGCACTTTGGGTGGGAGGTGCCCTGAGCAGGGGATGCAGAAGCTGACAGTTCACAGTTCAATGAAAAAGAATGTGATGTCAGGGAAACAGCGGGGGAGGGGCCGGTGGGTGCACTCTGGACAGGAAGGAACTCTTAGAGGAGGTCACCTTTGAGATGAAGCCCGAAGGAGATGGAGGCATGGAGGGATTGAGTGAGAGTGCACCAGGCAGGGGCACAGCCAGTGCAAAGGCCCTGGGGCTGGAATGGCCCAGAGGGTGCAGGCATTGTTGGAGAGGGAGGTGATGAGGGGGCTGGGGAGGCCAGGAGCTGTGAGCCTGCCGCTCTTCAACCTGCCTTGCATTTGGGAAGGTGCCTGGAGGAAACAGGGCCCAGAGAGGGAAGCCGCCTGCCCAACCCTGAAGCCCAGCCAGGCCTCCCTGCCCCCTCTGGCGGCTTGAGAAACCTGAGGCTGGTGGGGCACAGTGCCAGGGGTGGGCAGGGGAGGGGCTGCCAGGCCTGCCGGCTCCAGGCAGCTGCCAGCCCGCCCCAGCCACCAGCCCAGCTGGTGCCCATTTGCTGACGCTGCCATGGGCCAGCCTCCTGCTCCCGCCTTGTGCGGTGCCAACCTCCCTGAATGGCGCTGTGGGCAGGGGCCAGTTTGGGAAGCTCTCAGTGGAGAGGGACTGCCCAGGGTGCCCCAAGGAGGAGACAGGAAAAACTGGGGGGATCCCCAACTCCTCCTGGATGGAACCAGGAAGCAGTAATAACAAAGTTAGTAGGAACTGTGAGCACATATTGAGTGCCACTGTGTGCCCAGTTCTGGGCCCATTCCACTCCCAACTGGTTTAATTCTCTCCCCATCCCTGGGAGCGAGGGAACTTCTCCCCTTTCCCATGAGGAAACAGAGTCCAGAGATGGTCAGACACTTGCCCAAAGTCACACAGCTTGTAAGAGGCAGAGCAGAATTACAACCCATGGATTTTGAGTCCTCAAAACCCCTAAAAGAAAAAAAGTGAAAAACACTTTTGAGATTATCAGGTGGGACCCACACCCTCCCAGTGGTACAGATGATAAAAAGGGCAGGCCCTGAGTACATAGTGAATAAAGGAGCCATATTATTAAGTACCTGCTGCCCTGGCCATTTTGGCCCAGTGGATAGAGTGTCGGCCTGCAGGCTGAAGGGTCCCCGGTTTGATTCCGGTCAAGGGCACGTACCTTGGTTACAGGACTTGATTGCCTGCTTGATCCCGGGCCCTGGTGTGGGCATGTGCGAAAGGCAACCGATTGATGTGTCTCTCTCATATTGATGCTCCTTTCTCTCTCTCTCTCTCTGTCTCTCTCTCCCTTCCACTCTCTCTAAAAATCAATGGGAAAATATCCTTGGGT